TCAGATTCATCAATTAGAATAGAAAAAAAAGCGTCGCCAATATCTTCGATAATAACATTGAGAGTCTCCAATGCAATGGCATTAACAATGTCCTTTTGGATCTTAGGTGCTGTTAATTTGTGATTTTCAGGAGCATTTTTGAATGTAACCGCATTAATATCTTCATTATGATTCGCAAGAAATCACAATGTCTCAAGAAAATTCCCTTGGTTGCTTGAATCCTCAGATTCATCGTCACCACGAAATGTAAGACCTTGTCGCAAAAGATGTTGAACACAATAAATTGATGCAATCAATCGTGTTCGATATGTAATTTGTGTCTTGTCTGAATGCTTGAAGAAAATTGACTGAATGTGTTGCTTTTGCTTCATTAATGCTTAGCACATACTGGAGCATTAGTTGTGGGCACTTTTCGGACCTCCAACGTGACTTTGTAATTTTTCCAAACCCTTCTTCCAATTAGAAAATCCTTCACTCACGAAGGTATCATCACCCGATTATTCTCTAATTTTTGGTTTAAAAAGATACCAACATAGACAATATGATTCATCTTTATCTATGCTATATTCTAACCAAGTAGAAAATGCATAAAACCAAGCCGGGTTGAATCGTCGTAAGCATTGCCCATAACTCTTATAAGGAAAATGATATTTTTTAGGTTGGCAAGGACCCTTTAGTATATATGCTCTCCGAATTTGATCTCAGACATCGGGATGGTAATTCAATATCAGAGTTCGTAGTCCAGGATCTGCAGCCAGATCCTCAAGGTTGATCTCTACATCATTTATCTTTGAAGAGTCATCATCTCTTCTTAGAGATGGTGGCATCCCTCTTGTCACAAAATTTTCTATTACTGATCAATTTCCTATAGAGAGTGACGACATTTTAGCTTGGTTTCTTAGTGATCAATTTCCCATCAACAAAATAAACAAATTCAGAAATTGCATATTATAACAAATTGTGCGCCTGTGTTGTTGTGCATTGCACTAAAAAAAAAATAAAATAAAATAAAATATTAAGAAATTTCATATAACAAAATAATTGTGCGTCTGTGCTGTTGTTCATTGTACCAAAAAAATAGAAATAAAATATTAGAAATTGCATATGCATTGCTATTAGAAAAAATAAATCAAAGGGCATACCTGTATAAAAGAACTTGATCTTGCAAGTTGCAACACTAAACACTCCCAATTTCTCAAAATTGTTGTTATTGTACAAAGGGCCTCAACATACACCAACAATCAATTGAAATAGCTGTAAATAACAAAAATGAATAAATAAATAAATTTAGCAGAATTTTTCAGTATTTAATTTGACTTCAATAAAACTTTATCGCAAAATTTTGAACCTACTTTACCCAAAGATAAAAGAAAGTTAATTCCATATACTACATACATCCTACAGTTCCCACCGGCTACTACAAAGGGACAGAATGTCCTACTTTCCATTGATTTAAAAGTTAAAGCAACTGAACAAGTACTGATCCAATCATCCAACCATAGTTTTAGAGGCGACAAACAATTTCCTTTTATAGATAAAGTCCCTCTTTGAGAACTTTTTACAAATTACAAAACCTTATTATATTCCTTTTCAGAATCTCAATTCTCCGTCTTTCAAAAAAAAAAAAAATGCAGTAAACAAATCAAAAATTTAACCAAATCAAAAAATACAGTAAACAAATTAAAAAAAAATACAGTAAACAAATAAAAAAAAAAATACGGTTAACAAATCATCTAACCAAATCACTGGTAATCTCTCTCTTTTCTATATAAATTTATGTGTGTATGCATTTATATATGGGAATTGGGATAATTCTAAAAAAATAAAATTTTGTGGGTCAAAGGACGAAACAATAGGGTCAAAATTAAGTATATCAAACTCACCGTAGTGACCTTACTGTGGTGCCGAAATTAGTCTTGAGAGATGAGAGTCTTAAGAGAACCAAATCATCGTAATGAATTTTGAAGGTTGAATCCCTAATTTTCGTTCAGGAGGCAGAGATGAGAGTCTTAAGAGAACCGAAATGTGAAAGAGTAAAGTTAGGAGATAAAATAATATTTTTGAGAACTTATATAGTGGGGGCATTTGTGAAATTTCAGGAAGGGCATTGTATAAATTTTTAAAAAAGTGTAGTATATAATACAAAAAAAAAAAATTCCAGACGGGGCATTGGCCCCCCTAGTCCCCAGGTAGGTCCGTGCCTGTATATATATACATATATATATATATATATTTATATTTATATGTGTGTCCTGATACGAGATTGAGGTCTCGGGATCAGTGGTTAGGATTGAGGCGTATATTGCCAGCAAAGATGAGTAGCTGGATATATAAGATGCGTGGGCCCTAGTAGAGGGGGACTCTTGATCACTTTCTGTGCGATTTTCTTGAGATACCACTATCCGGTTGAGATTGCCTTATAGTCCAATAAGTGTCTTAATGTGTATATATACGTATCGACTACGTAGATATTGTATGAATTGGCTAGGGATGTATCTCTTATTAGTTCTCTGATTGGTCGTAGTAAAAAGAATTTGTTCATGGGTTTTAACCCAACTTTGTTATATTTTTCAGGTGCTTATCAATTCCAGTCTTAGAGGTTGTATGTGCTGATCAAAGAACATTCATCTTCACTCTTCTGGATTCATCGACATGTGATATTATCCTGGTTCTTAGTTCAGGCGTAATTATTTATTAATTCAGGAGACTTAGAAATTATATAAGTATTGGTTTTATTAGGGGTCCTTGATTTATAGATTCCCAGGTTGTAAACTTTGAATATTAGTTTTATTGAGGAAATGTAACTTATGAAGATTTTATTATTTAAGTATTGATTATTTATTATTTAGTTTTTCCATTCAGCATATTATTTATTTTATTATTTTTCCTCTTTTATTCTATACTTGATAAATACTTTATTAGTTTGACATCTCCGAGTTTTTGGTTTTGGGCCTGATCAGCCCATACATAATAAAATTCAAAGGTATCACAAGCTTGCCCCGGCCTGGGCATATGTTTTCAACTCTGTGTTGAAGGTCCCAAGTTTGAGCAGTAGGATAAGTGTATATGGGAGAACACTATACACTATTTACGTGTCAAAAATAAATAAATAAAAAGAAAATGGAATACTATTAATATTATATTTGAAATGTAAGAACACTATTAATTAACCTTCATTATGAAAGAGATGAAGTTATTTTTTTGAACAATTTGAATATAGAATTCATATTTTGTTGTTTTTTATGCAATGAAGGGAAAATTGAGGGAAGGTGTGAGTCATGTGAGGTACCTAGGTTAAATTATTGCTGCTTCTTTACACGCTTTTAGAGATAACATCCACATTTCCATGGTCCTCCTGTGCTTTTGTGGCCCCCCTCCCCCATGGAAGAAAAAGGCAAATATAGATTCCACTGCTTGTATTGTATGTGAGGTTTTGGCATCCCTAGCCCCCACTCCAGCCAAGCCCCCAACAATATTCTCATTTACCATTTCACACTTTTTTTCTTCGTGTTGTTTGGATCAAAAGAAAGGGATATGCATCAATCGCACATGCCACATGCTTGTAGGACTATTTTCAGATATTAAAGGTGAGATGGGAATCCGGCCTCTATTATAGAGATAAATTACACTTCCATGTATAATGTGCCCAACCCAAAATAAAAAATTAAAAATTAAAAGTTTTTTTTTTTTTTTAATTTATTTTTTCCCCTAAAAGAGGTGCAACTGCAGCCAAATTCTTTGTTGAGTTTTGCTCATATACACCCTTTTTAAATGCCGCGTTTATTTATTAAAACTTAAACCATTAAACCCTACATCTTTCTCGAAGAAAGAGCAGTAAATAGAACCGAACTAAATCATTCTCTCATTCAAACCAATATGGGTCAACATTAATTCTTCTAGAGTCCAACCTAATCTGGATGGATTTGAACAACCATTCATTTCATTTGGTCTTCGGTTGAAAATTGTCAACGTGATTTTTCTTCAACCGACGCTGGGACAGAGGTGTTGACCAACCATCACCCCAACTTGAAACCAACTTATATTAGAACATCTTAGTTGTCTGTTAACCATTTTTTTTTTTTTTTTTTTTTTTTTTTGTATAAAATATATACTGTCACATATAATTTATAAATATTTTTCATTTTCAGTAATTTGTTAAGATACATTACTACATCATCAATGTGTAAAAAAGTTGTGTATTTTACACAGCCCTTTTACGTATCCACGTAAACATATTTTCTCTTCCCTCTCCTTTTTCTACTCGTCGTTCTCTTTCTTCTCTTTCGTTCCTTTTCTAGAGTTTCTTTTTTTTATCTTTTTACATTCTATTTTAATGAAATAAATATTTAATAGCCAAAGATTAGATATATATATAATTGTTGTTTGATACCGTTATTTATATAATTGTAATGAAATAAATATATATATATATTAATCACGATTTTATATAATTATTATTTGATACAGTTATAAATTTTTGTGTAAATCTAATCTGACACATCATATTTACACAAAAATTAGATATTAGAAACCCAGTAACTCAAGAGTCAATTTTTTGAAATTAACTGCACAAATTTTGAACCTAACCCAATCAACCCCACAAAATTCAAGTTTAATCCAAGCTCCAAAAAAGAAACTTGGATTACATCAATAACTAATAAAAAAATAAAAAATTAGATGGTCGGTTATCATTGACACTAAACAACTTATTTCAATCTAAACTCTCAGATGTAACGTGAAGAATGGCCCGGACATGGAACTAGGGTTTTTATACCTTGAGTTCAGCTCAGGTTGAGATCAAACAATGGTCCTATTTGCAAAAAGACAAATAATTAAACACAAGTTGCCAGCAAGTTTGTTATGAAATTGAAATACAAGAACATCTTATGGGACAACAATATGTGGTCTAAAATTACTAGTAGGACCACTAATTAAGAGTAGGGATGCAAAAGTACATGCATATACCCCACACATTTTTGGATGAAACATATCAAAGAACAAACATAAATGAAACTGAAATGAGACAGAACTTCCAAATTATAAATTATTGATCATCTTTTTATGTCTTTCCATGAACTTGTCGTCATGATCTATGGCACCTTGAATGACCCCTACCCCACACCCCTTATTAAAGCAAACAAAATTTCAATTCATCAAATTATTAATTGTCATTATATTTATAATAAATAAATAAAACAAAAAGCTATCACTTCACTTGCCTTCTTGGTTAGAAAACCTTCATTGTTCTGGAGATAAAATACGCCGCCCCAAGCGCAGTTTAATTGTTATTAAGGCAGTTTCCGTGCTATCCTGCGCCAACACAGCCCTTTCTCGTGGTTACCAAAATCACCAACGCACGCCTTTACACACAGCGCTTTCTTTTTTCTTTTTAATAGGAAAATTAAAATAAAAATTGAATTATCCGTACATTTCCAAGACTACTCATCTATGGTGACGAGTACAGGACGCCAAGCTCTTCTCAGTAATCGCTGCCGTAACGTCGCCGATAACGGCCTTAGCGACCGTTGTCCGCCGCGCCGCCCTGTCGCGCCACCGACAACACCACCGGCACGGCCGGTTTCAGGTAAAAACAGTTCCCTCTCATTCCCGACCTTATCCGAACCTCTATCTTCGAACGGCGGCGAAGAGACGAACAAATCCTTCAGCTTGTGCCTGACGATTAATTCCTTGCTCTTCTTTTCCGGTGAATCGCCGCCGACGGTTCCCTGTCGATCGGGCGAGTCGTCGCGGCGGGGAAGGCGGTGGCCGGCACCGGCGTTGCGGCTGAGGAACATCCGTAGGGTTCTGCGGCGTCGGAGGTGAATTACGGGGCTTGTGGTTGGACTCCGTGTAGGGCTTCCGGCTACGGCGCACTGAGTGGCTAAAAGCTTGAATTTCTGCAGAGTGGCCATTTATGGATATAATTTGAAACAATTCTCTGTCCGTGTCGATCGATCTGCAGTCTCTTTCTCTCACCAAATGATCTTGGAATCAATCGATATCATAAATGATTTATTTCTAGAGAGAGAGAAAGTGAGATCTTAGCTTCTGGTGTGTGGGTTTGTGTGTTGGCCATAGATTCTTTGATTCTTCTTTACACTTTCAAGTGAGAGACAGAGAGAGAAGGAAAGCTGAGTTGCATTTGGACAAAGGAAAGGGCGAAGTTTATTATTTATTTATTTGAAAAAAATAAATAATACGGGACGGCAAGGGAATAGCGATCGTCTCGATTGGCTTTTTTTTACATATCCGTCCATGGAAAGCATGATGCTTACACGTGGCAAGATCTTGGAAAACAACCAATTGAAATTTAAAATTTGAAAATGCCTATACATTTTTGAGCTAATTAAACAATTTTGTAATAAAGCATTATCCAGTGGTGGTAGAGCGTCCAGATCTAAATTTATTCTTAAGGTGTGGTTTTAATTTTTTTTTTCTTTTTTTATTGTAGGAATGGTTAATGAATTATATAATTTATAGGATTCACATGATGTGATGGTGTTTTATTTGTACAAATTTAATGTAAGAAGGATAATTGAAAATGTTGTAAATTATATTGACTTTTACATTGAACAATTATTTTGGATCAACTAAATATAAAAAAGTGGACATTTATTATGGGTTAAAGGGAGTATCTAATTTTGGAAAAAGAAAAAAAGAAGGGAGTATCTAAAATAAAATTATTTGATTAAAGGATTAATTTCATCAAGAAAAATGATTTTAAAATTGAAGAGTAACAGAAAATTCTTTTATCAAATACTTTTAATTAGTAAAAGTGGAACCCCATTTCCTTATATCTTGCATAGATAATCAAGGCCTGAATATAACTATTCTTTCATTAATCATGAACTTCTTTAATAGTTGAAGGATTGAGATATATACATATTTTTAATTATTTTATTTATTTAACATTCTGACTTAGAGTAAATATTAGAATTGTGCAATATTTGATTGATTTTTGTTCCTACTCGGCTAACGACATGACACACTGATGGGAAGACACATGTCTACTTAGAATTTAAATATGTAATTTTATATATATATATATATATATATATATATATATTATGTACGGAGTATATCCCATCAATACATCCAAATAATATACGGGAATGATTTTTGATTTTATTATTCAAGACTCCTGCCACTAAAATGTCTTAAAAGAATAGTCTTACCTCCTCACAAAGAGACTATTTTCCAATTTTGGACCCGTCACCTTTGGATCCTAATAAAGCAACCTGAAAGTTGGGTCAAGATCCACCTCCTGCTTTGTATACTTCCACATACACAAAGGGGAAATAAAAAAGAACTAGATACATACATCGACTCCTTTCATGATAATTGATAAGACTACCAAAATTGTAAAGAAAATTGAATTTTTATTGTAACACGCGCTACTGTATTTCAAAACCTTTATCTTCAAGTTCGCTAGGTCTACAAAACAGTGGGGTGATTTCTTTATTTAGAAAAAGAAAAGGATAAATCTTCGCCAACGCCAAGAGACCTATCATTATGAGTGCCGGCTTAGCACTAAATTGAAAAACTATTATTAATCTGAATACAATTGATAAATAAAAAGCACCCTCATGACAATCATACCATAAGACGTATATATAATGTATTTATTTGGAAAGTAACTCAAAATGTAATGTAAAAACACAAAAGGAATAGACCATGCATTCAAAATCCCAAATGGCTAATACATTACTCAATCATACAAAATGACAATGTATATGTAAATCCAAAATATGAAACATTATTAGGTTCTTGACAGCTATATTTACTATATACATTCCTCCTCAAACTCACTTCTATAGACGTTGTCTCAAGTTTTATCTTTCTATGAACAACAAAACAAAGCGAGGTAGTAGATCAAAGAAAATGAAATTCTAACCCACTCATTAACATCAGTTCACGAGTGTTAACAATACTATTATCACCTACTTTTAATACTTGAAGCAAAATGAAAAGGATATTTCAACCACTAGAATTAGGTGTAGTAGAGCTGCTAACCCATTTATGTGAATCCGGCGAAAATGGGGGAGGGTTAGCCTTCAGAAGCCCAACATCATCCTCCATAATGTCCACAATGTCCACTATCTCTGCTTTCTCTGCATTGTACTCTTCATTCTTGATTCCTTTCAAAGCCTCCAGCACTTCTCCCATTGAAGGCCTCATGTCCTTCTCCTGTTGCAGACAACGGAAAGCTAACTGTGCCACCAATGTAGCCATCCTCCTCACAGTGCTATCTGTTTCAAACCCAATGCTTGGATCGACCAACTCATGCAATGTATGATTTTGGATTTTGTTGACAGCCATGTTAGCCAAATTAATGTCATGCCGATGCCTGTTAGTGTCCACGGCTTGTTTTGATGAGATGAGCTCAACCAAGACAACCCCAAAGCTATAAACATCACTCTTCTCGGTTAGTTGATAGCACTGGTAGTACTCAGGATCAACGTAGCCAGGCGTCCCTTGTGGAGCAGTCGACACATGGGTTACATCATTGGGAAACAAGCGAGACAGACCAAAGTCAGCCACTTTTACGTGGAAATCATTCTCCAGGAGAATGTTGTTGGTTTTAACATCGCGATGAATGACATCCGATGCATGAAGGTAAGCCAGAGCCTCAGCTGTTTCTATGGCAATGTTCAATCGGACAGGCCAAGAAAGCAAACCAGAATTTGATCGTTTTCCATGTAGATGATCGGCCACCGTTCCGTTAGAGATATACTCATAAACAAGGAGGAGTTCTCGGCTTCGTTTTGATGTGCATCCATGTAGTGTCACAAGGTTCTCATGCCGTAAAGTAGTCAGGATCCGAACTTCATTCACAAATTGCTCCACACGCTTGAAATTGTTCTCGTATAGACGCTTAACTGCAACTATGCGACCATCTTTGAGCTTGCCTGATAGAATTGAAAGAACCAGTTCAGAAAGACAACCAATTATAAAATGACTAGTTATATTGGTATAGATTAGATAAACAAGGGTTTATCCTCATACCATAGTACACAGTGCCAAAGCCACCATCTCCAAGTTCTCTAGAAGCATCAAAATTTTCAGTGGCTTCTTCGAGTTCAGCATAGGTGAAGACCTGAGCTCCAAAGTAGGTGCTTGCATTTTCAAGATCGGACTTTGAGGAGGGATAAGAAGGAATGCTTTGGGAGAAATTAGTTGAAGGAGTGGTAGTAAGGCCTTTACTTGAAGGAGGAGCCTCAAGGTCTTTGCTTTTAGTTTGCAAAGATGCTGCAGCAAGCCGTTGTTTTTTCTTTTGTCTCCAGGATAAGAAAAACCATACTAGGCCAACGCAAATAAAGACTGTACCTCCAATGGCGAGGCCTGGAAATAAAAGAAAAGGAATTAAACTTCTTTACCAAGCCACTAACCATGTTGGAACTTGAAATTATCAACGATTCCTAACGGTATGGCATAATACCTATTGGAAGTGTCACATTTTCACTTTTCTTGCCACTGCTCCCTGCAACAATCATGAGATCCAGTAACGTTAGATGAAACAGGAATGACTAAATCGAATTAGATTAGATAGTGATCCATAGTTGAATTGTATTCTTCCAATTAGTCTGTTGGTAACTGATCTTCTCTTTACAACCCTTTTCAATAAACTAATCCACTTAGATTGTTAGCTAGCAGTCTGTATAGATGCAAACATCCTTTCACTGAGTTCAAACACCAAGTAAGAAGCAAGTGATGATTTTGAAAGCACTGAAATAGAAAAAGGATCTACTAAAATATTTCTTCTCTCGAATGCCCAAGAAACAAAAATGCAGGTAATAGAAAGTCAAATTAAAGATTTGCTATGTAAAATTTCAAAGAAATAGATGAGCTTGTAACTCGTTGTATTGAATGTGCCATTGCAGTTAACCACAAACAAAATAAGATAAAAAGAGTATAAATAGTCCATCTCAAACTGTTCCATATAGCCCAAATTTTGCCATTACGTTGTTAGCTTATCACCCTTTATAAAGTTGATCATCTCGAGCATTGCTGTGAATAAATTAAACCTTGTCCAGAATTGCCGGTGGTGTTCATAGATCAAAAGTAAACACCAGAGCAATGAACCATAAAATCAGAGATTAATATTGATAAACAATAGATACAAAAGGGGCACATCCCATCTCGCATTAAACTAATACAGACACGAAATGAAATAACTGGAACTTCAGCAACCAATAATTTTGTTTTTGGTTTCTTCTCTGTAATTCCTTTATTTTATTTTATTTTTTGTAATTTCCCATATTCGAAAAAGTCAAATTTGAAAAAAAAAGAAAAAAAAAAAAAAAAGGGGAAAATGAAATAAATCAAACTTATCAGTGAAAGTAGAAAGAGGACCAAGGAATTTCAGGTAGATAGGATACCATATTAAACTAGAAGTATCTCATGGAGTAGAACTTTTATTACAGCATCTTGTGATCCAATTAGAGGATCAACAATATAAAGAATTAATATGCACAGCGACATTATTCTAACAGTGGTGAAAGTCGTATAATTCCAATGAAAAAAACACAAAATCCTCCATAAAATTAAAGGGAAGGAGAACAAGGAAACAGTCTCAACACTTTTCAGGAAAGTTTCAGCATCAGAGCATTTGATTTAAAAAGAAATGTCCTTGTACAAACCAAATATGTGAGATGATAAAATGCACAATTTGTGGCAGTTTCCCAGCTATTAAATTATGTAAATAAAGAATCTTCAAATACAGCATCCAAAAACTATCACTTGTGGAACTTCAATATCCACGGTTTAAAAGGAAAACTACAAATAACAGGAAACCTATCTGATTTTGTGCCTTGGCTTCGCAAATTCTGCATTGAAGTTATATATTAAGATATATACACAGCACAAGTATGTGCACATCGTAGGTGTGAGACCCCATGCAAAGGGGTAACTATGTCTATTGGGAAAAGACGAGATTTTGCAACTGGCAAATGAGCTCTGTGAAGAACTACAGGCCGTTTGGCGAATTAGATGCAACCACCCTAGCTTGGCATATTTCACACTGTTAAATTATTTAAATTCAGAATGTTGACAACAAGGTAAGGGAAGTTGAGTTGTACCTTGGGTACCATTCCAATTCTCTGCAGCATGTCCTATTCAATTATGTTGAATAAAATCTATTATTAATAACTATGCAACCGAGTCATGATGACTACAAGGAGCACTTAGTTAAAGAATAAAGAATTCCAGACTTGTTCAAAATCAGATTTTGTGGGCATGTTGAAGTCCAGTTACGGAAACAACTAATCTATTTCAGGACCTAGGCATCATGGTCAGCCATGTTGGTTCCAAAAGGTTCTAGTTCAGGACCTAGACAATGGTTGGTGAAGTTGGTTACAGAAGGTATGGCTTCTCTAAGTCTTTATGTTTCATATATTGTACACCCACATTTCTAAGAAAAGAACATATTATCAACAAAGAGCAGTACAACAAATTTGAAGTTCCATGTTCTATTTATGTAAGACAGAAAAATTCATCAATCTATTGTATTCTGAAATTAGAGGACCATAAATGTGGGAAATCATAGGGATTGTGAAGTGTGAAAGTACAACAATGTTTCTTTAAGAAAGATGAGAGAAGACTGATGGAATTGAGCTAATAGAGGATAACATGCCAAAAGGTGAATTAAATTTTTTATGTTGGGTACTCTTAAGACCCTAAAATGCTAAGAATAAAGAGAGAACTAACCATGCACTGATGGTCACACTACATTTATAGACACGGAATCAGAAGTCAAAAACATTTGCCTACACTTCCAGAGATGAGACCACAATTAATGAAGGTGACCAGATATACTACGCACTATACTCTATTTGCTATGCCACATCCACCATATATAAGTGCCTTGTCAAACATAATTTAATGATAATACTACTCCCATAAAACACTATTCAACAGTAATCAGCAAAGCATTTCTATGTAAAAAACCAATTAAATTAAATTATACTAACCTCTTTACCTGGTTTGGGGGGAAAGAGTACTCTTTCCTCCCATTCAATTATACTCGAATGATATTGAATTATGAATAAATCTTTAACAAGTAACAATAACTATCACTTATATGGCAAGAAAGGTACAGTACCTGCTCTTAGACTAGGACTAGGAGGAGATTTATTTACAGGGCACTGTCCATTACTGCACATACAAACAGGTTGTTCCGAATTCGAATCAAATGTGCATCGCCCACCAAGTCGGGTACATTCCGAGCACTGATTATCATATGGGTCACTATAATTCACGCTAAAACCTTCCATCAAAACATCCCTCAGAGTCAAAGTGGACCGATTGCCGATGAGCCTCTCACCGGCCTCCCTGAGTACTGGAACCGTGATGCTAACATTGCAACTAATGAACTGGACTATCGGATCACTTGGAACCGGACCAATCAAGTAAATAGCAACACTAGAAATTAATCCACTCACACTGCAATTAAACAGATTGTGAGCTTCAACGCTTATAGTCGGAGGAGAACAACCATAGAACAGCGTAAGATCCTCATTTCTCAAATTGGTGTCGAAAATAGTAGAATCGAGAGTGGAGTTAATGAATTTTGGGGGACAAGTGTTGTTCCATAGGTCTAACCTGGCAAGGGTTATGGTTTTTTCAGTTTGGTTTATCTGAAGAACTCGGTAAGTCACCGAGTTGGTGGTGAACTCGGTGTGGTTGTCCCGGCATGTGAGTCGGAACCCAGGTGGGCCGCAAGAGTCGGGTCGGTCGCCGCCGGTGAATGGATAGGTAATGTTGCTGATCGAACCGCAGGTGAAGGTAGGGTCACAATCGGAGTAGGTGACGTCATTGCAAAACGACGGCGTGAGGTAACCGGAGAAGACGACGAGGACGGCGGCGACGATCGTAGAGAAGGAGAAAAGAGAAGTGGAGGAGTGAGAGAGCGTCATTTGGGTGGAGGAGTGAGAGAGTCATGGTGCGTAGGACAGAGAGAGGATTTGAAGCAGTGTGAGAGTGGTTGGAATTTTGAACGTTGAATTACCTGGGACGAAGCCTGGCTGGCTGGCTGCTTTCGTTGACTCGAGACTGTTGTGGGGTCTGTTTTCGTGCCATTCCAATTTGCCACCCACAAACATATATATATATATTTATGTAAACTGCCAAAAAAACACCCTAATTATTTATTCTGCATATAACACCCTTTTATTACAAAATATGCATATAACGTTTATTTTGAAAAATTGGTGCAAATTGCCCCTTCCGTGAGTGTGCCGTCAGATATAGCCGTTAAAAAGCCCATGTGACAGTCACGTGTCATAAATTCCCTCCTTAATTCCAAAATTGCCCCTCTCTCGTCTCTCTCTCCTGCCTTCTCTCCCTCCTCTCCCCTCTTTCTTCTCTGATACGCTTCAAAACCCAGTCTTTTACCTACCAGGACCTCCAGAAAAAGCATGCTTCAATTCCCATTATTAACCAATCAGAAACTCCTACAACATATACTCAGTAGAAGAAATTGGAAAGAAAAAAAAAAACAGAAATCTCATATTTTCCATGGAAGAAAGCAATCAGAAAATCAGAATTTAATAAAGAAAAAAATATGTTACTGGGCACTGGATAAGGACTATTCGCAGTGATTTTACAGATCTTTATTTCGCCCTGATGATAGTAATTAGACCTCACTTACCCTGGGTGTTACCCATTATCTTCTTCTCTTTTCTTCGGCCTCTCCACCACCGCCGCTGCCGCTGCCACTTCTACAATTAGAGGGCGAAGACGAGGAAGATGAGGCGGAGGAAGATGATTGGTGAGTCTCTTCTCTCTATTATTGAATCAATGTTGGAACCTTTTGAAGAGGATTCCAGCACATTTTGACCTATATTAGAGTCTTATTTGTCATAAAATTTAAATATCGGTATTATATATATATTTGAAATGTTCTTTTAAGTGTATTCAGTATTTTAAATTACTCGTAGTGCACATTATAGTTTTGTAACTGTTCAATTCAAACTTCGTTTGATCGATCTTATCCTTAGAAGTCAACCTCATCCCATCGAGATGCCCACACCTCTTGATTTATCATATAAGACACTATTATTGTTATGGAATAATTTTGGTCAGCAATAAAATAATTAACAATAAAAAAAAAATTATGAAATAATTAATATTTTTTTGTTAAATGATAAAATCTGGACTCCTTCGCTACGCATGGTGTGTACCCACCGGTATAGTTGATCTCGAAACATCTCATGTATAAGAAAAAACAATAGTCAATTAATTTAGAGTTACCAAATTAATTTAGATTTACCAACTCTTGGTTTTAATTTTGTTATACATGGGAAACGAAACTAACTCGAATCCCCACAAAAGCTTAAATGGCCAAAATTCTCAACCACCGATCGCATCTGGAAAGTACGAGAGAACCAAACATATACTGTATATATTATATTGTATTATCACAAGAACAAAAACCAAGTCAATAAAGACTGCTTTCACACACACAAATAGTGTTATTATTATAATGATAACTAATCTAGCTTTAAATTAACTAATTAATTTAATTTTTAATTACCAACGTAAGAGTCATATGTAGACTTTCGGAAGCATTAACCTGCCCACACGCGCTACAGGAATGGTTGATTCACCGTGTTTGGTTGTAGGGTCACCTCTAATCAGACTACCGGCACGATTAATATGTATTTTTCCAATTAAAAGCACGATTAATATTATCATTAATAATTTATAGAAAATGAAAGCTACAAGTCAAAGTTGGAGGAGTCAATATTGATAATAAAGTAAGAAGAAAAAATGGTATGGAAGCACTCCAAAGGCAACCCTATTCAGCAGGTTTGTGTGACAAGCCCATTTTGTTATTTTGGGTACATACTTGGTTTAGGCCTTGGAAATGAACCAAACTTCCGAGATGTCAACATTGACTACAGCTAGAGGGTGTTACTCTATAACCAAAGTTGAAAAATGGCAACTTAGGCTTTCACAATTTTTCCAATGGAGGATGGACAGTGGAGGTTTCTTACCTATATAGTGTACACTTCGACCATTTCCGAAAATCACATACTTTGTTCAGGAGCACTGCCCACTTACATCCCTTCTCAATATTGGCAACGAAGGATGGACAATTGGACAGTGGAGGCTTCTTACATGGTATACAACGAGTATATTTGCATTTAAAGACACTATAAATGAGTATTACCCTGCCTAGGTGAGGTGCTACTTGACCATTACATTATTTTGCGAGATGGAACATAAATTCTCGTGTTTGTTAGTTTAAACTTTTATCATTATAACAACTTATTAATAGGATTAATATGCCCCTGCCCTCATAACTTCTCCCGGTCCTTTCTATACTGCCATGCTAAATTAAAAATCCAGACAACACTTGTGATCAAAAGGCTAGGCTGCGTCTATCTCATCTTGGATTGAGTCATTCACACAAATAATTACTTGTTCACTTGAATGATCAATTGATGGATAGATATACCTAATTCAAGGACACTTGTGAAAGTTGCAATTGATTGCACCTTCAAGGACACTTGTAAATTCCAGGACTATATATAAAGTTTGTATACCATAGTCGACCTAGTGATTTTGGACCATGAGAAACCTCTGGAGCTAGCCTGGAATGCCTATGAAGAAGTGAAAAACAAGGACGAAATCCTTAGACCAGCCGACAATCTATAGCTATCATGGACCTTATTATCTTCTGAATATATGAGTTATAGCTAAACGTACAAGATGGAGCAAGAAGATTAGGGGGCACATACCAGTTCCGCTTGGAATCCCATTACACTGTAACGTATAAGGTTGATCCGAGCAGTAGCAAGTAAACAAATTCGAATCATTATACCCACATCGCCCACCGGATTTCACACATTGGCTGCAGACTGCATCATTTGCTTGCCACGACAACCCAAAACCACCCTCAAGAGCTGCTTCAAGACGTTTTGAAGGTGAAGTAGTGCTTGTTAAATCTAAAGCAGTCGTAGCTGCTGATTGGGAAACTTGAACTATGACTTCGTTACTGCATGTTAACCCAGGAATGGTACCGGTCCCTGAAAAGGGCTCGTAATAGCTGTTGTTGTTATTACTATTCGCTGGGCAACTAAACTGTCTAGGCACAGGCACTTGGACAGGAATCGAGGGGCAACCATACAATAGAGTCAAGTTGGCAATATCAGAAGAATAGCTGAAGAGACTCCAATCCAAGGTAGCATTAACAAAATTTGTTGGACAAATATTATTCCACAAATCGTCTCTAGCAACTGTGAGTTTCTGTACTGTGCTGTTGATTTCTAGAACTCGGAATGTTGTTGACAGAATTTTGAGGCTTGTGACATCTCCTTGGCAACTTAGGTTGAAACCTGGGTGACCACAGTACCCAGGTCGATTCATTCCCCAGAAAGGATAGCCTATCTTGGAAATTTTTCCACACCCAAACAACTGATCACCACAGGTCGTGAATCGGTCATCATTGGCACACACAGATCTCGGCACGCGGATTAAGATGAAGATCATGAACAGAAAGATGAGAAAGGAGGTTGGGAAGAGGTGGGGATCCATTTTTTCAGAGTGAGATGAGCTACGAAAATTTTGAAGCTACCCCAAATTCATAAGAGGGGATGGAGTGTCCTCAAATTCAAACCCAGGATGTGGACACTATTGAAAATTTGATTTTATCAGCAACTATCACAACAAGAAACTGAGTACCATTGACAAAGTAGAGCACATTTGTGGAAGCTTAATTTTCAAATAGGTGGAAGCTTCTATTGGAATGGAAAAAGTTGACATAGTCTAAATAAATACAAATCTAAAATAGCAAACGTTTTCTGCACGGGATTTAGATAGATTATTTATGACCATGCATTTACAACTTTTTTTTTTTTGAATTTTTTTTTATATATATATAAAGAGAATAATTACATGATGGCCCACTTGAAACCGAAAGGGTACCAACAAAATTTGGAATTCTAGGTGGGCTGGTGGGGTAAGCATATCAACCTCACAAGAAAGCAGCTGCTTTTGGATTTTAATATTAACACCACCATGATCAAAGTCAAAAACAGCAGTACCCGGATTCACATTAAACATGTCCAATGAGTTTTAAATCGCATCTACGAATAGAGGAAAAATTGCATATATCTGATCCTTTTCAAATCCTTCAAATGGACCCTAACTCTATAATAAAAGGAGCCTCACACATTCTAACCTTTATATACAAAAATTAAGATGACCCCACGTAATTGTTGTTCGAAGATTCAATATACATGGCATATAGAATCTGATTATCTGTCCAACTAGAAGGATTGGAATGGTTGGGAAGGATGATTTTGGCATAATATAACTAGTTTGGTGAACTAAATTTGATGCCATTAATGGCTTCTTGAGAAGTCAACTTGCTGACATGAGGTGAGCTAGTGGGCATGTAAAAGTCCAGAAATTGTGCTCTTAATGTTGCAAAATTACCAACATGTCCAACATGGCAGGTAAAATTCCCTAAGTTCGGGTAAACCAAGTCACTACTAAAATGCCAAAAGGAAATGATGACAACTAAGAAAAAGGTGAAGCCTAAGTACTTTATTTTGCTGAGTTATATGGAGTCTGATGGAAATTTTGGTAATTTTGAATTATATCCTTGCAAAAGTACTAGATTGATCACATTATTTTGATCACTACAAAAAGGGCTAACCGTATCTTCTACGGAATTAAGGAACCAAAATCTACCCAAAAAGATAATAAAGAAAAGAAATTAGCCACACTCAACATTTCTTTTAAAGTGTTTCATTCAAACCTACCAAAAACTCACTTGGCTTATCAATCAATATATTTCATAGCATCCCAAAATAAAAGTAAGCAAAGAACAAATATCTAGATTTAAAAGTCCCTTCCACACGTTTAATTTGGAGGAGGTTTTAAGACACGTGAAAAGAACCATGCACGAAAAATATCTAAAATCAATGAATCTATATATGTGTTTGCATATATAATGATATAATATAAAATACCTTTGTAATACCTTTGTAATATTTATTACAGTAAAATTTTGTTGTGAATAAAACTTGCCAATAAACTTCCACAACTATTAAAAGTAATTATATTTTGCTTACTTGGATTCTACATACTTGGTATATGTGGTTGTTAATCTACCTATTAGAGTATATAAAAGTAGTTGCAGGCACCATCATATTCATCCTCCAAAAATTTTGGTGAGATCCAACACCAAACACATCAAATATGTACGCATCCAATACATTACTGTTGGTGACTGTTGGAGAATAAATCCAAGTTAACAAGTGGAAGGTTAAAATAGAATAGGTGTGATCACTGGTGTGATGATTAGAACTAAGATGAGGAGATGCAACTCAAATTCAAACAAACACACTCAATCCCTATTACATGGATCTAGGGGTGGGGGCTTGGGCCCACCAAAAAAATATTTATATTATACCTAATTTTAGCCCAGTCCAAAAAAATAAAAAATTTATTATTATTATTAGTTCATCCAAAAAAATATTAGTTCATCTCATTAACAATTTCTAAGTCCGCCCTTGACTAATAGGCACCATGTAACCTAAAAATACACTCTTTAAGTGGGTTCAAACCAAAGGTCAGATGGTCCAAATCACAAACCCAAATCCAAGCCATGGGTCAAGCGATCCAAAGTTACAAACCACATAAACCTAAATCCGATGTATCGCGCCATATAAAAATTGGTCCAAGTCAAATGACCAAACTCAGAGGTGCAAATTATCTTAAATACATAGTATCTAATATATACTAGCCTCGTTCTAGATTCTTTATATTTTATTTTATTTATTATTATTATTTTATTTTGTTTTGTTTAATCTTGAATACTATATTTTCCACCAATGCTTTGACATTTAGAAGTTTAATGTTTACTTTGCATTGAACTTTATAAAGACATCAATCTTGACTGATAAATCAGTGGATTGTGATTATTGCTTCTCCGATGTGGGATGTTTTTGGATGCATCAGTGATGTGGAAATTACCATCAAAATACACCAGTGTGAGCAATATTCCTATTGTTAGAGAGAGCTTAGTTACACAATTCGTCCACAGTGTGCCGAATTTTTTTTTATTTATGAAATGAGCAGAAGATCCGGAGCTCGCCACAATAAACCAACCCAAAGCCTCTCAAAAAAGGATTGGTGATTGACGGTGGAAGGTGCGATTTTCTTACTAATTCACTTTATACACTTAAATTTATATGGAACACTTATATTATCATATATAGATTTATTATTTATATTATTATTCAATATATAAATTAATTACTTAAACTGCACATGTGCCCCAGTTATATGGCATTGCTATACTACCATATATATATATATATATATATATATATATATATATATGTTTGAAAATATATCACTAAAAAACTTTCCAATTGGAGAATATTACAAAAAAAACCACGCATTTATTAATGAAAAAAGTTAGCTTATTTATTATATATATATATATATATATATATATATATATCATTAATTGAATAAATAACAATGAATATATTTGCATATGGATTTAAATAAATAAAAAAAAAAAAACAAAATATCTATATGCCATGACCTTATATAATTTTATTTAAACTTAGTATATAGACGCTCCCACTTTTAAAAAATTTAGACTTTGACGCACTCGCTCCCGCTCCATGTAACTTAGTGAGAGAGGCTTTCTAAACTAAAGACCAATGGTGGTAAATACTTTAATATATGAACTAAAGTCACACAATTCTTTTAGATGGGTGTCACTCTCATGTTTCATGTGCACTTTCACCCTCTCTTTTTTAATTAAATTTTGTAGTTTTCATGCTCCACTCTCACTCTTACTTTCATTCTTGCTCTATATGACTTGTAGTCTGTATGGAGGCATTTAGCAGTTTTGTATGACACTACCATTTTATTATTTTGGGTATCCATTTTTCAATATGTATGTAATTCCTTTTGAAGGTAAGAGCTAGTGAAGGGAAGCAGATAAGCACGATATTTTGAAGGTTTTTGATGTACTTGGACAGGATCAAGAACGAGGCTGGATTGGGTATATGTGACAGAGCAAGTTCTAGGATTTAAACCAAGCTTCCGAGACATCAATATTGACTACTGCTAGAGGGTATTATGTACCCTATAACCAAAGTTGAAATAGGCACCAAAAACTATAAGTCACTTTGTAAACTCCAGGACCATATATAAAGTTGGAAAACTTGGAAAAACATAGTCCTAGTGATTCTGGACCATGAGAAACCTCTGGAGTTAGCCTGGTATGAGTCGTATGACTATGAAGAAGCAAAAAAACAAGGACAAAAGCTTAGACCAGCCAACAATCTAGAGTGATCATGGACCTTTACCTTCTAAACATATGAGTTATAGCTAAACAAGATCGAGCAACAAGATTAGGGGCACATACCAGTTCCACTTTGAGTCCCATTACACACTAATGTATAAGGTTGATCCGCGCAGTAGCAAGTAAACAAATTGGAATCCAAATCATACCCACATCGCCCACCAGATCCTACACATTCGCTGCAGATTGTATCATTTGCTTGCCACCGCAACTCAAAACCTTGGTCGAGAGCTGCTCCAATCATTATTGAAGGTACCGTGGTTGTTAAAGCCACAGCTGCTGTTTGGAAAACATGAACAATGAGTATGTCACTGCATGTTGAAGTTGATGACCCTTCAATGGTGATGGTCCCTAAATAGGGCGCGTAATAGCTGCTGGTGGCGGTACCATTCGGTGAGCAACTAAACTGACTAGGCAGTAGTGCTTGGCCAGGAATTAAGGGGCAACCATAGTAGAGAGTGAAGTTCACTGTATTGGAAGTATAGCTGAAGAGGTTGGAATCCAAGGTAGCATTATAGAGATATTTTGGACAAATATTATTCCAGAAATCATCTAGAGCAACCGTGAGAGTTTGTGTTGTGTTGTCGATATCTAGCACTCGATATGTTCTTGACCGAATTGTGAGCCTTGGGACATTTTCTTGGCAGCTTAGGTTAAAACCTGGGTGACCACAGTATTCGGGTCGGTTCCCTCCCCAGAAAGGATAGCGCATGTTCGGAAGGTTTCCACACTGAACCAGCTGATCACGGCAAGTTGTGAATCGCTCATCATCGGCGTATACAGATCTCGGGGCATGGATTAAGATGAAGATCATGAACACGAGGATGAGAAAGGAGGTTGGGAAGAGGTGGGGATCCATTTTCAACATAGAGAAATAGAAATAGATGAGCTATGAAAATTTTGAAGCTACCCAAATTCATAGAGGGGATGGAGCATTCCGTCAAACTTACACACTAGAAATTTTGATTTCTCATCAACCATCATAACTAGAAGAAAATGAGTACCATCGACAAATAAATGTAAGCTTCTGTTGCAATTGAAAAGGTTAACATAGTCTAAATAAATACAAATATTTAATGTTTTCTCTGCACGGAATCTATGAGAAAGTATTACTATGTGTACTCCAAATCAATTCATAGTCATACTTTTTTCCTGAAAGCTCCTCATTTCAAATTGAAATTTGAATGACTGGCCGAGAAAGCATATCCACCTCTGAGGAAACCAACTGATTTTTCAATTTTAATATTAACACCACTATGACCGTTGTAACACGTCAAAAGATCAAAGTCGAATAGCCGCCCAGATTCTAGAATTCCTAGCACTAAATATATAAGAAATTCGAGGGTGGACAACTGCAAAATTGCTCTATTGTAATTCCGAAGGTACGAATTCATGACCAAAAATAACATATACATGTTATGTCCTAACAGTCCCTTTCTAAGGCGAATTCATTTCACGATCTCTCTCTCTCAATCCTATCCCTGTCCCTATCCCACAATTTCATCCCAATTTTATCTCACATACTCTCTTGTGGCCACTACGTAGGCACAGTCATGCCAGAAAGATACAAGTTAGCTTCTAAGAGAGAGTTCACTCATGATCGAAAAGTTTCAGTTTGATTTAAGATTAGCAATATAAAAATCCTAGTAAATAATCTGGTCAACAATGACTAGAAATTTATGAACTAGCGGCAAAAACAAGGATATAGTCTAACAACAAAGACTCTTGCCTTCGTTGGCCCACCTGAAATTTTCTCGATAATTGCTATGTGAATGTGGGATAAGTGAACTGCATGTGCTCGGTGGTGAATTATAGGTTACTCAAAGAGGCCTGACACTACCATCATCGGACAAAAATAAATAAATTTTAGGTAAAACTAGAACTAAAAAAATGGCCTTGGTCTAAACAAATTGTGCCTCATCGACTTTTTAATAACCTGTGGGAACTTTGTAACCTGCTTTTGATGAAAAGGACAGATGAATAGAGATGTTCATTTTGATGAACATCAGAACAAGATGTTGAAAAAGATGGGATTCATCGGGACAATACTTGGGTCCAACACTTCATCCAACCTGCTGATGTGGCCCAATAGATCTAAAATAAGAGTCCAAAAATAAAAGTTAGATTTAAAATACATGTCCAAAAGCAAAAATTAGACAATGTCCGATTTAATTTTAACACTTACGGCGCCTTTTCTTGTAAGGAGGGTAGATTTTGAGGACGAAATGTTCACAATTTTATTGGGTCACATTAGTAGGTTGAATGAAGTTCATCTAATTTGAATTGGACCCAAGTATTGTTCATTGATCAAACTTTCGATTTGATTTAAGAGACATGTTTAGTCTAGGCATTAGAAAGCAGAAAGTTAAGTGATTGAGGACAGAGAGGAAAATAAGATGAGGCAAGAAAAAAAGTCGTCATCCTCTGTTTGGTTATGAAGAGAAGCAGAGAGATGGTTAACAGAGGAACCACTAACTTCTTTTTGGTCACTTAGAAAATTAGAAAGAACAGACCAATTTTGGTAATTTGAATTAAACGTTCAACATTTCTTTCAACTTTTAATTCATACCTACCAAAAACTCAAACTCATCTTACTTTTCATAAGATCCCAAAATAAAAGTAAGCAAAGTACAAAAGCCATCCACATGTGAAAGTCCCTTCCACGCGTTTAATTCCATCGACCATCAGACCTTTCCGATAATAGAGATATTTCTCAAATTTATTTAGAAGGAAAAAGAAAACCCCATTAGACTGCTTTTGGAGGAGGTTTTTAAGACACGTGAAAAGAACCATCGATGAGGGATTGAGGGGTATCTTAGATCAATCTACCTATATGTGTGTGCTTATAATAATAATAATATATATATATATATATAATAAAAAAATACCGTTGTAATCTTTTGACATGTAGAAGTTCAATGTTTACTTTGCATTGAACTTTGTAAAGAAATCAATCTTGCAGATACTTCGTGAAGTTAAATAATAATAGTGGATTGTGATTATTGCATCTCCCATGTGGAACTTGGGACTTTATGAAATCATCACCGAATCAAAATACATTAGTATGAGCAAAGTTAGTCAAAAAAAAATAATAATAATAAATAAAAAATCTACATATATAGAATCCAAATTAGAGTCACACTTCATTGATGCTATCTAAAGTAGGACCAATGGTGATAAATATTTTAATATGTGAGTTAAGTCACTTAATTCTTTTAAATGAGTGTTACTGTCATATTTCGCGCATACTTTCACTCTCATTCTTATTATATGTGACTTAAATTTTGTCATTTTATATCCTCCCGTTTTTGTATAACTTAGTTAAGGTTAATTATTCGATTTAAATTTGAGTCTCTCAAAAAATTATACAAACTGTAATTTTTCCAAATCCTACCCGCTCAATTCAACTAAATCTCATGTTCCCTACTGTATTGTGAATAGATAATTCTATTCATAGTGAGAGTCAACTAACCGACTACTTACATGAGAGAGAAAACTTTGCGAGTCCCACCATGTTTTGGAGTCTCAGCAAAACCCTATCTCTTGATTTACAATATGGACTATGGTAATAGGAAAAAGATTTTTAAGCTGATAAGAGACCGACAACTTTTGTGCAAAATAGAAGGAAGTGATTTATAAATATGGAGGACTTACCCGGGTTTTGTATAGACAACGTTGTACCTCCGATAGCCGTTGGGCACTTACTGGACAGGTAAGGCGGGTCGGGGCAATAACAGGTGGATTGTTTTGAAGCAACATCATACCCACACTGTCCATTTGACCCGGTGCAGTCGCTGCACACTTTATTATCCACCTTCCATCTAACCTCGAACCCGTCTCGGACTACTTTATCCCAATCTGTAACCTTCGTGGATTCTCCCAAATCCATTTCTTTAAATACTGGAACAATAACACTGGCATTACAATAGATCCCAGGGCCTAGGGCTCCAAGGACGACATAAACACCATTATGTCCACAGGAAGTAATTGGGTCTAAAACAGGAAGGTTAATACCCGTAAGGTTAAGTGGGTTAAGCCCCGGCGGCAGGTTAAATGAAGTCGGGCAGCCAAAAAGATAGGTGATGTTAGGATATTGAGAGGCAAAATCGAAGATAGCATAATCAAGAGTGGTGTTAACTAATTTCTGTGGACAAGTTGATTCCATAACATCTTCTCTAGCAATCTTCATAACTTGTGTGGTCTGATCCAAACCCAGTACTCTGTATGTCAAGTTCATGATGTTGATAGTGGTGATATTGTTGTTCTTGCAATTGAGGACTAGTCCCGGATAGCCGCAGTTTTTGGGTTGTTCCTGTCCGCGGAAAGGATAACCTATTCCGGTGATGGTGCCACAGCTGAACTTTGTACCACAGGTTTTGAGGTACAATTGGTATGGGTTGCTCAAAGACGGTGGAATTTGAACCAAAATTAAGAATTGTAGGAAGAAAAGCGGGAAGAAGAAATTAGAGGTTGAGAGGATTTGGGAATCCATTTGAAGGAAGCCGAGTGAAGAGAGAGTGTTTGGGAGATGATGATATTGATGAGTAATGGGGAATAGTTAGGTGGTTGAGAGCGGATGGAGGAATCTGGAACTAGACATGACTTCACTAGATGGTAAAGATCACTCAAAGGAAATGTGACTCAGAAAGACCCGGGATTTTTCTTGACTTATTAAGACTCTCATGATGTTGATATGTTTATATCAATATTACTAATACGTACTTAGTATTTGATACTTGTTGTACAATGTGAATTGTATTTTAAAATTATACCAATGACATTGTTTAACAAGCCATCAAAAGAAAAGGATCACAAAAATGTCCAATAAATTGGCCAACATATTGTATAATAGTCTTTAATAATAAAAAATTACCCCTCCCCTCCAAATTCCCAATACGTAAGAATCAGTTCAGAAATCTAAGAGGGGAGCACCTTTCAAAGACCTTACTAATCATCACGAAACTGCTCTTGTACGTTAACAATTTAAGATAAAAATATAATATAAATTATCAATTAACTGTTATAGTCACCTAAATAATAATTTCACACGGATTGGTTTGTGATATAACAATTTAAATTTCTATTTATCATATGTGAAATGTGAACTCAGAGCATTTAGATAACTTGCAAGACAGAGACTCTTGAATTCAAATTAAGTCTTGTAATAATCCAACTAACTCTGATTCTTCCTTACTTTAAATAATCACTTTTGCAATTGTGTTGGGACTTGGGATGAAAAATATTAGCTAGAACTTAATTGGATTAGATTTGTATTAAGGATTAGCTAGAACTCAATTGCAACTCAAGCTGAGTTCAACTAGTTTTTTATTTATTTATTTGTTATTATTATTATTTAACCCAAGCTCAAATAAGGTTTAAAACTTTCAACTTGGGTTGTGCTTGGGTTAAAGGTCCGGTTACATTGATCAATGATTGATACTTTTATACATTAAATTAGGTTTAGATTGACTCCTCAAATTACCAACTTGTCCAAGTTATACACTGTTCAATAACACCCTCTTATTGTTTCTCTTAAGAGAACTATGCCTAGTTTTAGATTTAAGCATAGGTTATTTTATTTTATATTTTAGATTTTGACTTTTAACAATTTTACATATAAAATAAATATATCTTACAATTTTATTTTTATGGTATAATAATTTAGCATCCTTTTGTTCCGCCTACCTAGCTAATTATAGTACTCCCCACCTGTCGTCCCAACAACTATATTATTAAATTCTGTTATCTAGATTGGTTGGCAATTTATGTTTTGTTTTGACCGAGTAAAAGATCTCCATCCGTTACATAATCAGACGGTTATTATCCAAATCACATTTTTGACCTCTTGTGAATCCAAAACAAAGTAACAAACCTCCATGCGTTTGGCGTGTACACTACGTAAAGCTAGAACACAATGTGGGACCTGCTTTTTGACTCGGATTGTATTGGGTTAAAACTGGGCCAGCGTCCTAACATCCAAAAACCACCTGGGTTAGCCCAATAAAAACAAACCCATTTCTACATGAAGATGTGCTGGGACTGACCCAGTAATAAAATGGGCATTTAAATTAGCCTGGGTTCAAATATGGGCTAGAGTAGAAAACGAAGCTCATCCCAGCCCACTATGGATCTGGCGCACAGATCCAAATTCGATCACACTCATAGAATATTTTCTTTTTGGAAACTCAATTACAGTACTCGTTGTTTAATGTGTCACGCTTGAACTTTAGTTTAATAAATTCTCTTGCCCAGTTATATTTCCTTTCAAAGGAAAAGAGGTGAGTACATACCTGGTGCAGTCGGAGAAGCACCCGGGGAACCACCTCCACCATCCAGTGCAGCATTGCACGTCTTGGATCCGGAGGACTGATTCGGGCAAAAGCAAGAAAACTGATTCAAAACAAGGTCATATCCGCATCGTCCATTTGAGCTTCTGCATTCGCTGCATGTTGTATCATCAACCTTCCATTTCACCTCAAACCCGTCCCTAATGACTTGATTTAAACGCGTCAAATTCACAACATCCCTAATAAATCTGCTTGGAATGGGCACAACAACGCTAGCATGACATGGCCCGGGGCCTTGAGCTCCAACCGTAACATAACCATTCGTGTTAGCAACCCCATCAATGGGACAAGTGAATTGTCCCGGAATAGGAACATCAGAAGGTGGACAACCATACAAAAATGTAACATTTTCATAACCTGAAGCATACTCAAATAGTGTGGAATCAAGGGTTGTATTCACAAATTTATCTACACAAGTATCATCCATGAAGTCATCTCTCGTGATTTCGAGAACTTTAGCATTTTGTTTGATACCCAAAATGTGGTATTTCACATTCATAATCACTATATTAGGCTTACCATCATCACATTCTATCTCTAGTCCAGGATAGCCACAATTTGCAGGTTGATCACTTACCCGAAAAGGGTAATCCACCGGAGTGAGCATGCCACAGTTGAAAAGACTACCACAACTTGTATACCATTGATAAGTATCATCATTTGAAGATAGAGGAATATTGAATAAAATTAGGAATATGCAGAAGAGAAGTGGAGAAGGTGGGAATGAGAAAATAAGGGACTTCATGTTTGGCAAAGAGGAAAGCTAAGTTAGAAAATTCAGGAGAAAGTGAAGGAATTTAGATATAGATGCCTCATTCCAATGCAGGATGTTTCAAAGACACAGATTTGAAAGCAATAGATTGTGACATTAGTTGACCGGTGATTCCATTTTTCACAGCATAGGGGTATCTCATAAAGGACATGGTGCTTATACGGACCAATTTGTATGCAAAAATCCATATCAACTGATGTAGAAAATGACACTTCTAATATCATTTGATGATAGCATTTAATTTCTTTAGAAATTTGAGTTTGAAACATTGGACCATGTTATTAATTTTATTTTTCTTTCGGTTGCTTAAATATCCCATCGAACCCACGTGATCGATCAGATAGAATTAGAACCAGGAGGGGTATTCAGATTGATGGAGCTCTCAATATTAATTACAGAGTGCTTGTCAATGGTTCAATATTCAAACAATTTTTTTTTTCAGGAAGGAAAAAAACTGCATTGCGAGTGTAAATGAATATGTTACTATCACTGCTTTTAAAATCAATAAAACTTTGTTTGAACTTTTAAGTTACAAAGACAATCCTCCTACTATGTTCCACCATGTTATTCATACATCTAACAACTAGCTACTTGAGAAAACCGCCAAACGCTTCACCGAGTTTCTACCTAATTATGTTAATTTGACAGTAATCATAAATTTCAATGTATAGTTGAAAAAATGTTCTGATGAATTGTTCCAAAAAGTTTTTGAAACCTTTTGTTGTGATGTATCACACTGAACAAACAATTTTTGAATTATTTTCTTGTTAGACTTGTCATAACATAACTGAAAGAGCTTAATAAAATGGTTATTACTTGTTTGGGAGCAAAGTATTAATTTAGTTCAGTTCTCTGAAAAATGGCAAAAAAACTCCTTATTGGGGGAAAGGATATACTCTTTTTACTTTGAAAGGATAAGAGATATCACTGGACCACAGATTAAAACGAGCGTTTCGCTACATATTATGAGAGATGCACTAATATATATATATATATATATATATATATATATATATGTCAGCCCCTAAGATGCTCTTGTATGTGGCACTTCCATCTGCATTACTGCAATTGAAAACATTGATTTACAATTGACAAAGCCCAAAAACATTGAATTATTCTCACATTCCATCTTTTATGTGATGTATAAAAAAATTCTGCACCTGGTAATAATATTTTTCTTCTCCTCCAATTCTTGATCTGAGGTACAAAGGTTTCGGGATAAAAGCTGAACTACTAAGTTTCTTCCGGTATGCTATGCAGGCCTTCACAAGCTCCTGCACAATTTGATCAAGGATTTGAGAGTTCTATTTTATATATATATATATACACGCACGCACATCACCAGCTACATAAATGAAATGAAAGTCATCCAAATGCTACTTGAACAAAAAATGCAGTGGAATGTCATATAGGAGTATAATATAATCTTATGTTCTCTGTTTTTTTTTTTTTTAAATCTTATGTTGTCTACTTTTTAGCACACTGTTATCAGTATGTGGGCCACCAAGATAATGAGATGGGCCTAACCCATACGATTTATTATTTTTTAGTAATAAAGAGTCCATAAATGTAATTTCGCCCGGCCCAAAGACAGAAGAAGAAAGTTTCTTTCGAAAAAAAATATATAATCCGCTATCAGAAATAAGTTAAAAAACAATTCCGCTGCCGGGACTCGAACCCGGAGCTCTCGTAAGAGAGCTGAGAGACCATTTCAACATTTTAAGTTGGCTACAGCGGATTTTTGTTAGGTTTACCATATTTTATTATTTATGTAGTAATAAAACAATGTACGAGTATTTAGAATGAGGCCACCACTCATCTCTCTCTTCAAGAGTTTGGGCCCTTAATTAGGGCATCCTGGCCCACCACACAGAAGAAGCCCATCCTCCTACTTGGGCTTCCTTCATTCTTTAAGGTAATATTAAGGGAAATTACCACAAGTCTTACCCTTTATTATTATTATTTAAAGACAACTATTCTATTTATATACCTTTACTACATTAGTTATACTCTCACTAACTTAAATATAAAATAAAATTTTCATATTTCATAGTATTTTGAAGTCCAGAGGCTTTATTAATGTTTTGGAGTTTAATCAAATTTATTTATTTAAAAATGTTTTAGAGGCCAAGTTGTTAAATTCAGTCAAAATTTTAATATAAACTAGTCTTGCAAGTAGGGTTCAAACCATACCAATAACCTATTTTGCATATTGTTGAACTGATGTGAGTCATGTTTTCAGTTTAGATATGCTAAAACTAGAAAAGCAAGTATTCCCAATTCAGAAAGTCAAAGTAAAACTTTGTTTTCAATTTGAAAATATGAAATAAATTGAAGACAAGTTTGTCGATCTAGATTTTTATATATACAAATTTAGGGGTAAATTAAACTCACCTTCCTTAAGGTTTGGGCAAATCTCACCCACATGGAGTGATTTGAGGTTATTACTCTAACCTCCTCTAAGGCAGTTAGTGGGTTAATAGACATTAAATATAAGGGTGAAAAGTCAGTTATGCCCTATAATTTTTAGTGAAAATTTGCTTTTCTATCCAATATATATATATATACACACACACTTGGGTTCTGTCCTGCTATGCATGCTCCACATACGAATTTTTCTATAAGCTATATTACACATAGTAGTATAATATAATCTTAAGTTGTCTTCTTTTTTTTTTTTAAATCTTATGTTGTCCACTTTTTAGCACACTGTTATCAGTATGTGGGCCACCAAGATAATGAAATGGGCCTAACCCATACGATTTATTATTATTTAGTAATAAAGAGTCCATAAATGTAATTTCGCCCGGCCCAAAGACAGAAGAAGAAAGTTTCTTTGGAAAAAAATATATATAATCCGCTTTCAGAAATAAGTTAAAAAACAATTCCGCAGCCGGGACTCGAACCCAGAGCTCTAGTAAGAGAGCTGAGAGACCATTTCAACATTTTAAGTTGGCTACAGCGGATACTTGCTGTCATTTATCATATTTTATTACTTATATAGTAATAAAACAATGTCCGAGTATTACCACTCATCTCTCTCTCTGTTCAAGAGTTTGAGCCCTTAATTAAGTCATCCAGGCCCACCACACGGAAGAAGCCCATCCTCCTACTTTGGATACTCATCTTACTTTCAGGAATTGTCAATGGGAAATAGTATTGAACATAAATTTAATTATACAATTTCATAAGCAATTTTTTTTTGAATGGGTTAAAAGGGGGGCTAATACTACTATTAAAAAAAAAAAAAAAAATTAGGCTGAACATGCTATACTAAAATTTTTTTTTGGGGGGGGGGGGGAACTCAAGCCCACCCAAACCCCCCTCTGTGTCCGCCACTGCTACTTGGGCTTCCTTCATTCTTTAAGGTAATATTTAGGGGTGCACACGACTTCGGTCGAAACCGTATAGTATGGAACCGAATCGTAGAATTGGTTCGGTTTCAGTTCGGTTCCATAAGAACTATTAACTGTTTGATTTGTTTCCTTTTTGCAGTGTTGTAAGTTGTAACACTGAAATGTTCCCCGAATTTAACACTGAAATATTGTAAGTTGTAACTTGTAACTCAATAGTGTTTCATAACTTCCATTACTTAACATAATACAATATCAAAAATTTAAATATAAATAAATACAAATACAGAAAATAAAACTGATACTTAACTACTTAAGTCTGATAGTTTTAATTGTATAATATTACATCCCATACTGAAATCTGATACTTAACTACTTAAGTCTGATAGTTTTAATTGTATAATATTACATCCCATACTGAAATCTGAATAACCTTTCAAAATAAAAAAACTGATAGTTTGAAATTCTAAATACTAAATTAATAAAATAAAATACTGAATTACAACACCACCATATGCTACACACAAAAATATAATAACTATTGCATACTGAATTCAGATTTTTGCCTGCAATAAAATCTGGTATGCTACACACAAAAATCTGATAGTTTGAAATTTTCAGATGAGACTTGAGAGGAGGCAACTATCAAACTATCAAAATGTCAAAATTCAAATTTTTGCCCGCAATAAAATCTGAGATGAGAGTGAGGATGAATGAGTGATGAGAAATCTGAGATGGGAGTGACAGATCGATCAAGGACTTACCGAGTAATCTAAGATCGGAGATGATTAATGACAAAATCTGAGATGGCGAGGGCGATGAGGACTGAATTGACGAGAAAGCTTCAGATGAGACTTGAGAGGAAGCGACTCAGGCGAGGGCGATGATGACTGAGGAGATGAGAGGAGGCGACTCAAGCGAAGGCGATGAGAGCCTGAGAGGTCAGACTTCAGAGGAGGCGAGGGTTAGCTTAGGGTTCGTTACTTCGTCTGTTTAGATGAGAGATTGAAAGGAGGCGAGTACTGACTGACTGAGAGAGTGAGAGATTTAGGGCAAAATATTTTTTTACGTGTCTATTATCTAAGGTCCAGCGACTCAAGCCTTATCTTTACTTATTTTTCAATATAAAATTAAATATATAATGCATATTATATATATATATATATATATATATATATATATACTATTATTAAATGTGCAAAGTTTTTCAGTATTTCAGTATTTATTTATTAATTAATATAAATTCTATAAAACTCAAAATTACCTAATAAAATTAAAATTAATTCAAACTAACAAAATATAAAAAAAATTTAATTCAAATTATAAAGTTCCACAATGGTTTTAAGTAAAAAAGATTACATGAAAGTCTCTTATAAAACTACAGAGCTAAAGAAATAATAATCACACCTTCTCGGTTTTTTAACTAAGATCAAGTATAGTACTAAATTTTTTTGGGTCGGCCTTTTGGCTAACCTTTCTTGATCTTTTGGCTAAAATAAAATGTAGTACTACTTTCTCGGCCTTTATGCAAAGAGTTTCAGTATCTATTTATTAATTGATATAAATTTTATAAAACTCAAAATAACCTAATAAAATTCAAATAAACAAAATATAAAACAG